TGAAAGTCGGTGTTATAGACGCAATTTCTGTAATTTCCTCTCTCTGTATTTATTCCACTGTTTTCTTGTTCGCTTCCAGTCAGCGAGGGTAAAATAAATGTTTATATTTTGACGCAACCCCTAAATCATTTACAGTTTGCTGACGAAAATCCGTAGTTTACGTTGAAATTTTCGCTTATTGCTAAAATATGAATTTTAGTCGCATCAGATAAATGCGATGAATATTTTTTATACATTAAGAACATCCTTAATGCTTAGAACCTAAAGAAAGGAAGAGGTTTTCAGGACTTGACGGAATGTCTGCGTCACTGTGAGCTCTCGTCTTTATCTTATTTATTCTATCGTATCCTTTGGAATATCAAATTGTTTATTACCGTGAATTATAAATAGAGAAAAGAGAATATTGAGCGAGACTTTCGTATTTATAAATCGAACGTAACTACAAGAAAGATTGTATTTTGTGCCGCGTAGTATCGGATTGAGGCGCGTTAGTGCCGTTGATACAGAAATTGCAGCCTACACTTATGTTTTATTTGCACTTATTGAGGTTTTGCGTGCACAGTACAAAATGCTTTATTTGTAACGTTTTCTTCTACGTTTAATAAATGTTTATTTTTAAAAAAAAATACTTTAAGTAAACAAACCACTAACACGTATAAAACATTAGTGACTATTATAATATTTTAAATACTATAATTTACACTTAAGTGCTATTAGAGCGATATTAATTTTAATGAAGACAACAGAAATACGTTTGTCGACTAACTTCGATATTATATCATTCCATATCAGTATAATGATACTGATTTTAATTTTCTTTGAAAGGTGTAGAAGTTTAACTTTTATTTTTAAATTCATTGCGTTGAAAAAGATCGATATGCAGTAACCAGATTTACGAAGGTTTTTCAGGTAGAAAGCGCTTTGGATTTTGGCATCTAATAGAGTGAACGCGTCTGAACAGTAGTCTTTTTTGTTCTTAAAATTCCTCCTCTTTTCCTTTCGTAGTGTTTAATGGTGTGACTGACCGGTAGAAAATGTTTAGTCGCTGAAAATAACCCCAAAAATGAAATGTATTTTTACAAACGGTTTATCGAGCTGTGTTGAAATATGACAACATTTTATTTGCATTTATATAGAATAAGCTGCAAGCCGTCAGTTTATTAATAGTGCTATTTTATATTTATTTTTAATATAATTTTTTATAATCAAGTGAATTTAGATCTGATGTTATAACAATTATGAGAATATTGTTGTTGTTTTACGTATTAATATAAATCATTTCCGAAGCATAAATGTTGCCATTTACATTTCACTGTTCAGACGTAAATATTTTGAAGTTCAAGCAGTGGTAAAGATCTGAACTGGCAGCTGTTTCTGTGGTGTGTCTGCCTTATTACAATCCTGCATTTTGATTAATACTCATACGACATTACGATGGAAGTGCCTGTTAATTTTGTAACTATTGCACACGAGTGTTTATTACGGAGAAGTTTAATGACGTGACGTGTCGTCTACGTGGAGTATGTTTTGTAGACAAACATGTCCACAATTCAGCATGAATATTCTGTTCTCATTTTCTTTTAAATATTTATAGAAGCTATGAATTCTAGGTCCCGCTCATTATTAAATGAATTGTAATGTCACATTGGGAATGTGAATCTTACTTGTTTAAAAATGGTCCAAATGAATAATTATTTGCATAATCACTCATGCCCTGTTACTGCTTACTGAAGTAGTAATTTAAGATTAATTTAAATACAGGTAGTCCTCGATTTGCGCCGATTCAGAATAACGCCGATTTTGAAACCAGAAAGTCAAAAAGTGGAAAAAATATATTTTACTGTTATTTATAACGTTTTACAATGTTTCTCGTACTGATTCTTATACTAAATCGTAATTCTTACATCGCTGATTTTGAATAAAAATTATAAATACAGTCATCTCTGCAATTACGTATGTTCCGTTAACACGAATTTGCTCCAATGAGATCGATGAATCGGTAAAATCTGTTTGTGAAACGCAAACTTTTGCGTATGCGAGTTTGCTCTTATGAAATTTCATTCCTGGCGCTTTAAACTTTCAAAGAACTAATTTCATTTCTGCGGAGGTACTGGGGTTATTTTTGCTACGCGTTTTTCTATAGGTCGGCGTCTTACATGAATGCAACTATCGCATAACAGCAGAGATCACAGAATTGCCGATTGTAAGTGTATAAAATATATTTTTTAAAATTCCCTTTATTTTATTTAAGTTATTTCAGAGCTTTAAATGTATTGCCATTAAAAGAGAGTTTCAATTTACGCCGGTTCGTCCGGGAACGCATCCCCGGCATAAATCGAGGGCTGCCTGTACAAGTTTATGTGACATGTACACTGTTAAAGGTTGACGTATATCTGATATGTTGTTAAGACCTGTTCAGGTTTTATATATTTTTGATAATTTGTCGTCGTGACTTTATTTCATTTGCGACTGTCCATCTAATGGAGCCACTCTCCTCTCTGATGATGGAAGCAAAGACTTGCTTCCAAAATGTTGTGCTTTTATTCAAAGATGAGGCAATGGAAAAAAGACCAACATATGTGTCTTAGTGAAGGACCTGGTACTCTGCCCCACTCGAAAATGTTAGTACTTTCAGTGCAGATTCCTCGATATAATATCGAATCGTATGTGCATTTGACTATTTTCGTATGTTTCGGTGCTAATTGTTCTCGACGTAATTATAAGACGACTTCTTTTGTTTAAAAAAATTACTGCCGTGTTGTATCTTTTCTGTATGCGTACTGGCCTAATAATTGCAGCTTGTCATTAGATTTTCCACACCCGACAATTTTTTTTATATACTTTTCTGTTGCTCTAGATAGTGATGTCATTGCTGTTTTTTGCTTTCCATTTCTGCTTGTAAGATTAAGTATAAAGTAAATGGAGGAAGTATTTGAATGTGACGCCCAGTTTTAAGTAAATTTTACTTTATCAAATATAAAGTTTTTTATAGTTAAGAGATTGTTATCAGCTTATATTGGAAAACTTGTATTTTATATAATTTTCTTTTAGGCGAGGATACCGTTTTGGTATTTTACGACATTTTTTTCCTCCTTTATTGTTAATGATTGAAATTGTAAAAGTCTGATATATGTGTTAATATATGTTTTTTGTTACTTTTTAAGGACATTTCGTTGTGCCTGGAACCTAACAGTCAGTTGTTTCGCTGCTATTTTCAAAGAATGTTAGCATTGATGTGACTGAGTAAGAGCGTTCCTGGTTCAATATTTCATCTTCACACATTTATGCTTTTGTATCTAAGAGTAAGAGTACGAAGGA